AATAATTTTAATTCTTAATATTTCCTTAATTTGAATACGCGATTGCTCTCTGGATCACCATGACAACAGTGAGTGATGATGAGAATGTTGGTGATAAGGTTGAGAAGAAGACAGAGGTGTCTACTGATAAAAAGGAAGACAAGAAGACAAGAAAACGGGTAATGACTTGTCTCATGTGCACACAGCACTCATTTATTTTAGATATTATTGAAATCTGATGTAGGTGGATGCTACATCTGTTTTTTTTTGTTCTTGTATCTAAACTCTGAGATCTCTACCATCTAACATGTTTTGGTGAGAGGCAGCTGAATTACAATACAGAAAACAGATAATGCACTCAAGGTGCATCTGACTTTAAAGGCCCATGCATTATGTCAAGAGTATTTAGAATGCAGTCAAAATAAAAGACAGGTGTGTGTGTGTACAGTACATAGGTCGTATCATATGTCAGTGTCACACGCAACGTAATATTACCGTAATTGGTATAGTACAGGTGTGATGGTTCAAATACCAAAATGGCAACAGTAACAGAAAGACTTCCCTGGCGGCGATGATAACATACGAACACGGAGTCAACAGATGAGGTTTCAACTGGTACTGGTATTATTATACTCTGCAAACATCAAGTACAATAACTCGGTAAAACTCCAAACCTCCAATAACTAGATACTTAAACTCCAACACAATTCAACGAGATCTTCGATCTGAACTCAGTGCTGAACAACTCCCCTATATGTACTCACACTGTCTATAAATAGACCATTACATCAGCATACATAATGAGTCTGGAACTTACTACAAATTTCTAGAATGTTCCATTACCTTCTATTGCCTCCTACCTATTCAACCAGCTTCTAAAAATTCCACCCAGACACAGTACGGTTCTAGAACATTCTCAGTCACACGGAAGTGGTAAACAAGTCGTATGCGACATGCCTCCCCTCTCAAGAATATTATAACATATAATATTACATGACTAGCAACGACGTCAATGATACGAATACGATAACAATTTCAAACAAAACAACAATACAATATATCAAACCGAACTGAATAAAGCTCCGAGTACAAAAATTCGAAAATCACATACAGTAGAATATAATAAAATATAAAATACAGTCATAAACGAATAACATTCTACTATACTGTTCAAAAGTTCCTCAGTCCATCAATCTACTCAGGTAGTCTGCTACCACATTGTCCCGTCCAGGAATATCCTCAACACGATAATTATATCCTTGCAGAGTCATCGC